GCCTCCTTGCTTGCCTCCTGTGCTCATCTCCTACTTGCCTCCTGTGCTTGCCTCCTGTACTCACCTCCTGTGCTCACCTCCTGTGCTCGCCTCCTAGCCTATGTGAGGGTGGCAGATTCCTCCAGGCTCCCTCTCAACTTCCAGCCTCCCTTCCTCCATCCAGAGAGACTCCACATCTCCACCCCCAACAAATACGAGTTTCAGTATGTGCAGCGGCCGCAGCGTCTCACCCATTTCGATGTGGCCGTGCGAGCACACAACGACGCCCGTGTGGCCTTGTCCCCGGGGCCCCAGGACACAGCGGGCATGATCGAGATCGTCCTGGGGGGCCACCAGAACACCAGGTCATGGATGGCGACCAGCAAGATGGGTGAGCCCGTGGCCAGCGCCCACACGGCCAAGATCCTCTCCTGGGACGAGTTCAGGACGTTCTGGATCAGCTGGCGCGACGGGCTCATCCAGGTACCCGGGGCTGCCTGGGTGGGCACGGGAGCCTGGTGCCCCTCTGGTATCCGCTGCTTCCTGTTCTGTGCCAGGCTCTGCTGGGGGCAGGGAGGAGTGAGGGGAAACACAGGGCCCCTCAGGTGGCTCACAGTCTGTCTGGAGCTGCTTAAAGAAAGAAAAAAAAGGAGAAGAAAAAGTCAGGGTGGTGGGTGACCAGGGAGACTGGGTACGAGCAGGTGAAAGGGGGCGCTTTGTGGGCCCAGGAAGGGGACTTAGAAAAGGAACAGCTGGCACCACGTTTGGGGGAGTGGCACAGCCAAGCTGGGCTTTGAAGTAGGAATAGGAGTTCGCCTGGTAAAACAGGAGCAGGGGATGTCCCAGGTACAGGGAGTGGATCTGTAAGGCCCAGAAGTTCCTGGAGCCCAGGGACAGGATGACCTCTGGTGTCCCGTGCTGCTGACTCCCCGAGGACCCGGCTTCACACGGGGGTGTGGCTGAGGCCCCTGACCATGTTCACAGGTGACGGAATGTCACTGCACGCTTCCTGCCGGCGTCCATAGCCTTGGGCTCTTTTTCCAGGTTGGCCATGGTCCAGAGCCATCCAACGAGTCCGTCATCGTGGCCTGGGCCCTCCCGAGGCCACCGGAGGTCCGGTTCATTGGCTTCTCCACTGGCTGGGGCTCCGTGGGCGAGTTCCGCCTCTGGCGGAAGATGGAGGTGGAGGAGAGCTACGGCGAGGCCTTCACCCTGGGGGTCCCCCACGGGGCCATCCCTGGGTCTGAGCGGGCAGCTGCTTCCCTCACAGGTGTCTGTCCACAGCCCGGCTGGGGGAGGGCAGGGGGCAAAGGGGAGGGTGAGACAGAAAAGTGGAGAGGAAGATGGGAACCCAAGGAGGGTTATGAAGAAGCCGTCAGGTTGGGCCACAGAAGAGGCACAGGGGCAATGGCAGCCTTAGTGAGTCATGAGGAAGCTGAAGAAGAAGAAAAGGAGGTAGGTTCAGCGAACAGCACTTATCCCAGGGGGCCTATTGGCAGGGTCTGGGACAAAGAGATCAAGGAGAGGATGTCAGAATACCGAAGGGATGAGAGAATAGAAGACCAGAAATTGAAAGAGAGAGAAAGAACATTATAATGCACTAATATTCCATAATATCTGGTGTGTATGAAACTTTAAAAAAATCTTTAAAACACTCATGGCTAAAGAAAAAATCACATTTTTCTGGAAATTATAAAAAAGTTTTTAGAATGGAACAAGAATGGCTACACTGACTTCCTGACATTTGTAGGACGCAGCTAAAGCTGCATTTTGCAGGTAATTTATAGCCTTAAGATGCATCTATTTTAAAACCTAGAAAAAAAAAAACATTCAAAAGACTGAGAGTGCACACCCAAGTGACAGCTAGAAAACACAGAAACATGTAGGTGAGAGAGGGCAGGTGGCCACCAAAGCCGGACACCAGGCCGTCTGGGTGGCC